GACCTGCGTGAGAAAAAAAGAAACAGCGCAGGGTGTCTCGGGGCGGGAAGACGGTAGTAGTGTGCAGTGTCTTCAGAGCACCGCGTGAGTACGAGGGGTGCGAAGACAGTGAACCAGCCTCGGGGCGGGGGAGGACGGTCTTGTGCAGCGTCTGCAGAGCACCGCGTGGGTACGAGGGGTGCGAAGACAGTGAACCAGCCTCGGGGCGGGAGGACGGTCTTGTGCAGCGTCTTCAGAGCACCGCGTGGGTACGAGGGGTGCGAAGACAGTGAACCAGCCTCAGGGCGGGGAAGGCGGTCTTGTGCAGAGTCTGCAGAGCGCCGCGTGGGTACGAGGGCTGCGACTACCGCGATCACTCGCTCCGACGGGACGTTGTGGTGCCGTGTCCTCTCAGCGAGAACCCCATTATGTAGCGCCACACCTCGTGAGCTGTCCTGGTGTGAGCTGCGTGCTGTGCGTCCAGCAGTCCGGACCCGGTGCTACGGCCGGTGACAGCGTGCCTCGTGTCGGCCCCCGAGCCAATCGTGTGCAGCGTGTGTGTGCGTGTGGGCCTGTCCTCCATGCTAGGAGGCGTGTAGCACTGGCTGACTGACGTGTCCTCTCGAGCGCTGGTTGGGAGAGAGAGCAAGGCGTGGTCCGCTTCTAGTGTCGCTGGGAGAGAGGAAGGCGTGGTCCGCTTCTAGTGTCGCTGGGAGAGAGGAAGGCGTGGTCCGCTTCTAGTGTCGCTGGGAGAGAGGAAGGCGTGGTCCGCTTCTAGTGTCGCTCGCCCAGCACGCCAGCACTCTGGGTTCGGTACTCTGGGGGTATGGGACTTCTACTGTCGCTCGCCCAGCAGGCCAGCACTCTGGGTTCGGTACTCTGGGGGTATGGGACTTCTACTGTCGCTCGCCCAGCAGGCCAGCACTCTGGGTTCGGTACTCTGGGGGTATGGGACTTCTACTGTCGCTCGCCCAGCAGGCCAGCACGACGAGCAGCCTCTAGTGGTCTCTAGTAGTCTCAGTAGTCCAGTGGAGCAACCTCTAGTGTTCGCTTCTAGTGTCGCTCGCCCAGCAGGCCAGCACGACGAGCAGCCTCTAGTGGTCTCTAGTAGTCTCTAGTAGTCCAGTGGAGCAACCTCTAGTGTTCGCTTCTACTGTCGCTCGCCCAGCAGGCCAGCACGAAGAGCAGCCTCTAGTAGTCTCTAGTAGTCTCTAGTAGTCTCCAGTAGTCTCTAGTAGTCTCTAGTAGTCCAGTGGAGCAACCTCTAGTGTTCGCTTCTACTGTCGCTCGCCCAGCAGGCCAGCACTCTGGGTTCGGTACTCTGGGGGTATGGGACTTCTACTGTCGCTCGCCCAGCAGGCCAGCACGACGAGCAGCCTCTAGTGGTCTCTAGTAGTCTCTAGTAGTCCAGTGGAGCAACCTCTAGTGTTCGCTTCTACTGTCGCTCGCCCAGCAGGCCAGCACGACGAGCAGCCTCTAGTAGTCTCTAGTAGTCTCAGTAGTCTAGTGGAGCAACCTCTAGTGTTCGCTTCTAGTGTCGCTCGCCCAGCAGGCCAGCACGACGAGCAGCCTCTAGTAGTCTCTAGTAGTCTCAGTAGTCCAGTGGAGCAACCTCTAGTGTTCGCTTCTAGTGTCGCTCGCCCAGCAGGCCAGCACGACGAGCAGCCTCTAGTAGTCTCTAGTAGTCTCAGTAGTCCAGTGGAGCAACCTCTAGTGTTCGCTTCTACTGTCGCTCGCCCAGCAGGCCAGCACGACGAGCAGCCTCTAGTAGTCTCTAGTAGTCTCAGTAGTCCAGTGGAGCAACCTCTAGTGTTCGCTTCTACTGCCGCTCGCCCAGCAGGCCAGCACGACGAGCAGCCTCTAGTGGTCTCTAGTAGTCTCAGTAGTCCAGTGGAGCAACCTCTAGTGTTCGCTTCTACTGTCGCTCGCCCAGCAGGCCAGCACGACGAGCAGCCTCTAGTAGTCTCTAGTAGTCTCAGTAGTCCAGTGGAGCAACCTCTAGTGTTCGCTTCTACTGTCGCTCGCCCAGCAGGCCAGCACGACGAGCAGCCTCTAGTAGTCTCTAGTAGTCTCAGTAGTCCAGTGGAGCAACCTCTAGTGTTCGCTTCTACTGTCGCTCGCCCAGCAGGCCAGCACGACGAGCAGCCTCTAGTAGTCTCTAGTAGTCTCAGTAGTCCAGTGGAGCAACCTCTAGTGTTCGCTTCTACTGTCGCTCGCCCAGCAGGCCAGCACGACGAGCAGCCTCTAGTAGTCTCTAGTAGTCTCAGTAGTCCAGTGGAGCAACCTCTAGTGTTCGCTTCTACTGTCGCTCGCCCAGCAGGCCAGCACGACGAGCAGCCTCTAGTAGTCTCTAGTAGTCTCAGTAGTCCAGTGGAGCAACCTCTAGTGTTCGCTTCTAGTGTCGCTCGCCCAGCAGGCCAGCACGACGAGCAGCCTCTAGTGGTCTCTAGTAGTCTCTAGTAGTCCAGTGGAGCAACCTCTAGTGATCGCTTCTACTGTCGCCCAGCAGGCCAGCACTCTGGGTTCGGTACTCTGGGGGTATGGGACTTCTACTGTCGCTCGCCCAGCAGGCCAGCACTCTGGGTTCGGTACTCTGGGGGTATGGGACTTCTACTGTCGCTCGCCCAGCAGGCCAGCACGACGAGCAGCCTCTAGTGGTCTCTAGTAGTCTCTAGTAGTCTCTAGTAGTCCAGTGGAGCAACCTCTAGTGTTCGCTTCTAGTGTCGCTCGCCCAGCAGGCCAGCACGACGAGCAGCCTCTAGTGGTCTCTAGTAGTCTCTAGTAGTCCAGTGGAGCAACCTCTAGTGATCGCTTCTACTGTCGCCCAGCAGGCCAGCACTCTGGGTTCGGTACTCTGGGGGTATGGGACTTCTACTGTCGCTCGCCCAGCAGGCCAGCACGACGAGCAGCCTCTAGTAGTCTCTAGTAGTCTCTAGTAGTCTTTAGTAGTCCAGTGGAGCAACCTCTAGTGTTCGCTTCTAGTGTCGCTCGCCCAGCAGCCCAGCACTCTGGGTTCGGTACTCTGGGGGTATGGGACTTCTACTGTCGCTCGCCCAGCAGGCCAGCACGACGAGCAGCCTCTAGTAGTCTCTAGTAGTCTCTAGTAGTCTCTAGTAGTCCAGTGGAGCAACCTCTAGTGATCGCTTCTACTGTCGCCCAGCAGGCCAGCACTCTGGGTTCGGTACTCTGGGGGTATGGGACTTCTACTGTCGCTCGCCCAGCAGGCCAGCACGACGAGCAGCCTCTAGTAGTCTCTAGTAGTCTCTAGTAGTCCAGTGGAGCAACCTCTAGTGTTCCCTTCTACTGTCGCTCGCCCAGCAGCCCAGCACTCTGGGTTCGGTACTCTGGGGGTATGGGACTTCTACTGTCGCTCGCCCAGCAGGCCAGCACTCCGGGTTCGGTACTCTGGGGGGTATTGGG